CCTAAGTGGCAGTGAGCCAATGGCCAAATCAAGCTGCAGAACTCCCACTCATGGCAAGAAAAATCCTTCTTTCCTGGTGAGCCAAATGGGTCATCCCATTGGAGATTCCCCTTGTCGCAGAATGGGGTTGCCGCAGCGACTCATTTCGCACAGTTACCCTGCAGTACACTCTTCGAGGATCCCTCAAGTTCGAAGTGAAAGCAGATGTGAGTGCCAAGCTTATCTAAACAACCTCCTTATGGTTGGTCGAACAAATCTCGCCCAGATCGTGCCAATCCGCGCCTCGCAGGAAGAGCAGCTACGCAGCTACGCTGGGCTGCTAAGAAGGCAGCGGCCAGCTTCGCCTGAAAGGGGTATGTGATTGTTTTGAAGGTACCTTTTCGCCTTTTGAGGATTCCTGCGACATGGATCATTTTTGGTTCCCTTCCGGCACGTGGCCAACATGGGGCCGCCCCACACTCGCGGCACGCACAAATTGTTTTTGCATGCCACAACAAGGTGCAAACCTACCATTTGAAAGGCTCGTCTATGACAGACGGTCCAAACCTGTTGCGCTCCCAAATGACATGAACATTTGATAAACCAACTTCCTTGAAGCACATAGCTGCGACTTGGCAAGCATACTCAATGTCACCCTTTGCTCTACAGTAGCGAATATTGAGCATCGGTCGTATCAAAACATAGTTTGTCCCATTCAGCCATAATTTGACCCAATCCCACAAAGCCCCAAAAAAGTGCGAGTGACCGGGTGAGGCCACGTTCTTTGGATCTACGCAGTTTTTGGCTCCACGGCTCATCAAGAACCAATCAAGCCAGCAGCGTCCCGAGGCTGACCGGCAGCTTGAAACCGAACAGTCGTGAAACAGCCGGATTCGCCACTCTTGTTTTTGCAGCGGTCTTGCTCTCTGTTCTCTAGCTGATGTCTTAGCGGAGCTAAGGCGGTAAAAAAGCCCAGAATTCACTGAAGTGGATCTCAAAGGGGGCCTAGGTCTTCAGAAAGCCACCAAAGAAACCCACCAAAGCGTCTGCGCCCTCAATGGCTAATTACATGTCAACATACGACCATAGGATAGAAAGTTGTCCATAAAAGAAAAAAGACTCAGCAACCAAAAGCACAGATAAAAACCTGTAAATCTACTAGATGTATATTAGTATTTTAAAAAAAAAATGAAGGTGAGAGACTTCTCGTAAAGCAAATTAAGATGAAGATAGAAGAAAATAACATAATGAAACCTGCATTTTTGATTTGGCACAGCTTTTAACATAGCATATTGGCAAAAGAAAAACCTGTCTTTCGTAAAGAGACATTCTTCTAATCTTGGAACCTCTTATTTTTGGATTATTTGCTTCTTTTCATTACGTCCTTCTCCTTGCTGCAAAATGCACTGCACACGTCGATAGCCATGGCTGACAAACCAGCGTTCTCACCCCAGGCGTGGGGAGGGAGCGCGTTGGCGCGGTCGGGGCTCGGGGGCCTTCCCTTAATCCACTTCGACAAAGACAAGTGTACCTTTGGGCGAATCTTTTCAGCATATCTTTCCGGAATTCCAAACGCTCGGGGAGTTCCAAACGGTTGGGCGTCCGCGTAATTCACCTTGATCCACTGGGATCAACCAGGCTCGTCTCTCTTGAGACGCAAGGGCAAAGGCACACTGGCAGTTCTGCGGGAGCGCGTGCCAAACCATAGTTTATGTATATATATATATATATATATAATATATTAATATTAATATATGGTTGAAACTTCGCTTAAGCATCAGGTGGGTCCGACTTTTTGGGTTGTGGGAAAGTAGGGGAGGTCGGCCTTCCCTACTTTGTTTTAGACAGCAACCCCTACCGGAGAGAAAAAGGAGTACTCGCCTGCAGACTAACTCCTTAGGACTGCCCTCCCTCCCAAAAGAAACATACGCTCCCACCTTTGCCGCCCCCTCGCCTGCCCAGGTCTTGAAGATCCACAGCTCGCATCCAATGGTCCATAAGTCGCCATAAGTCCGACCGCGGACAAGCTGTCACGTGCTACCCTATCATTGGGCACGGGAAATTAGAGAGGCCCCTGCATTTTGTGGGAAATTTAGAGAGAGAGAGAGAGAGAAAGAGAAAGAGAAAGAGAAAGAGAAAGAGAAAGAGAAAGAGAAAGAGAAAGAGAAAGAGAAAGAGAAAGAGAAAGAGAAAGAGAAAGAGAAAGAGAAAGAGAAAGAGAAAGAGAAAGAGAAAGAGAAAGAGAAAGAGAAAGAGAGAGAGAGAGAGAGAGAGAGAGAGAGTCCCCCATGTCCCTTTCAAATGGGCGCCAGACCACTGGACATTACTACCGAATGTGCCGGTTTATTGCTGTGCATGACGAGGAAATCACTTTCGCAATCCATGGCAATCCCTGCAAGCCAGCTGCCATCCAGAGCCAAGCTGCCCAAAGCTCACTCCGGAACGTATCTGTGAAAAGATCCCCAATGCTTTCAGCGGAGGAGTAACAAGGACGATTGACAACGAGCTGATTCGAAAGTCTTGTACACTTTGACAAAGCTGGTTCTGAATGCCCCCTGCGTCCCAGATTCATTCCCCCCCCCGACGGACTTTTCCGCTGACTCCGACGAAAAGTCGAACACCGGCTCCCGGCCAGGTGCTCGAAGGAGCAGAAGTCTGCGGGCAAGCGCTTATGGAGGCGCCACTCCTACAAGGCTTATGTTGAGAAGCTTTGCAGCCTTTACCCGCCCAACACACCTGACAGGGGGTACGGCTCCATTCAGAGGCCCATGGTGAGAAGTTGAAGTGCTTGGTGAGAAGCGGTCACCTTTCTGCGAAATCAAAGTGGAGGTATGTCTATGACTACTTTGTCACTGCAAGGAGACTCCCTTTATATCCAGTGGTTGTAAAACCCGATTGTCCACAATGAGCCCCACCAAACCAATACGAAACCAACCACAGCAAAGAAGGAGCCTCTGTGGTTTACATGGATGATCAGCTGAAATAGGCTGCGCACCTCGAAAAATTGCCTACCCTAGAGGGCCTCGGTCTTGAGGTGGTGTGTGCCGACCTCACAAGACCCCGCCAAAAGCTCAGGGGGAATGGTTTTCTAAATATCTCCATGTCTCATTTTGCGCTGAGAGCGAGATGCCGTTTGAGGGCGCAAACCTCGGAACAAGAATCAAAAGCCAGGATGCTGCCCTTCAAGGTGCCTCATCTACAAAGCTCCCCATGTCCTTCAGCTTGCAGCTTGTGTCTCTCCGAGTTTGTGCGTGTGCGTGTATGTGTTGGACAAGAGGAAAACTGTGCAAAAGGCCAAGGCGACATCAGGAGAAAAGCGGGAGCAAAGCGGCCAGACCCCGGCTCCTGTGCCGTCTTCAGCCTACGCGCAAAGGGGGTTGAAAGGAGCTTGGTCCCGGCCATAAACGCTTGGCTTCTAGTTGATTGCTCCGCTGCAACGCGCCAAGGGGCCCCCAATGGAGTTTCTTCTAATGGTTTTGGGGTTCCATGCTGATCTGAAGGGGAGTATTTTCAGTCCCCAGAAAGGCAACAGTCTTGACACCTATAGCACCACATGCCTTGCGTTGTCCTAAGAACATGTCGCCGCGAGGCACGCAGGAAAAGCACAATGCATGCCCCATTGTTCCCGTCAAGAAACAGGTGCCACAAAGCTCAAGCCGGCTTCATGCCCCCCTGCACCCCTCCGCCTCTGCACTGGTACCAACGCCTGGCTCCACGCCCGGCCACTATCTGTGCCGGCTCATTTGAGTGGAGGATCACATCCCACAGGCGGAACTAAGCCACCGTTCATCCCCGGTAGCCTGTAGAACTGTCTGTGAGCCTGGCTGACAGAGAAACAACAATACTGGACTGTGATGGAGTAGCTTCAGCACCGACATAGACTTTGAGTGGGCTTTGATGAGAACACAGAATTTCCAGCACCTCTTCTCAGTGGGGGCCTGTTTAACATTTGGCGTAGATTCCTGGGGTCACACATCGGTTTCCCTCTCTTTTGCGGCAGGCAGCCATGATTTTTGACACCCTCCTCCCAAGCAGGAGCTGGCTACAAGCTGTTCAACCAGAAACAAAAGACCAAGGTCGGATTCCCTTCATGGTGGTGGGTTTGGATGACTGGTCCTTAGAAATTAGCAAATAGCCTTCCATTCCACTTCAACCATGTGGGGTTCAAATGCCCATCCAAGCCAAGGCGCACATGACAAAATCTCCGAGCCTGGGATGCGCTAGCCCCCATACCCTGCCCCGCTCCAACAGTGGTGGGTGGTACAAAAAAATAAATATTCATCCCTCCGCAGGTTTGTTGGAGAAGCCGGAAACAAGCAAACAGTTCGGACCCAAACAGTCCGTTTCAAAGTCCTCTACAAACTGAAAAAGAGTAAGTGTATATGCTTCCCCGCAAAGTCCCCTGCAACATGGGGTTTCTCTCTAAAATCGGGGTCCTCCAAACTGACGGTTGTGCTTTTGGCTCCTTTTGCGACCAGCCCAACAAAAGGGGGGTCCTCAAAACACGACAGACCCGCACGGGGCAAAAAGGATTACGTCGCCGCACAGTCGGAAAGTGCCCACCTCCGACTCCGTGGAGCAGGAGCTGCCTCAGGCCCGCGGAAGGATGCACGCAGGATCAGGGGCTGTGACTGGAATTTGCACCTTGGACCCCTTGCACCCCTTGGACCCCTTGGACCTTGAGTGACCCTAAAAATGCATGGGCAAATTAGCTGGAGGCTTGGAGCTTGTTGTCATCGTACCCTTCCACACATGGGGGAAAAAGAGGGGGACCTGGGTCCGACCAATTCCCCCCCCCCAACCCCCGCGCTGGCCGCTTTTTCGCTTCTTATGGTAAAGTCAATCCAAGCGGCGAGTCGACTGCGCATCTTCCTACTCCCAAAAACCCTCTGGGGAAAAAAAAAAAAAAAAACAAGAAGGTGTATGAAAGCTGTGCTGGCTAAATGTGCCAAAATGTGTTCCTCAGCTGACCACTCCAAGCTAAAACCAGCGGTTTCACTGCGGCGGACCTTCAGAGCGCCTCACTTGATCTTGATGAACTTCAGGCCTGCACAAAAGCAAAAAATGCCATCCTGCTGCATTCCCGTGATGGAATCCCCCAATGATTGTCAAGGGCACATAATGGAATCCCCCAGAAAGAGTCCTACGTGAAGAGAACACAGCCTCCAAAGAACTTTCGGAAGGGGCCATCGGTCTCATTTTGCCACGAACTCTGTGATTTTCACCAATGGACACATCCAACTCATAGGCCCTCCCCAAAGTGGGCTCTGGGTGCTAAAGAAAACAAGTCACACAGGTAGGTGTGGGAATCAGCCAACAATTGCAGAGTCCGCCTCCACAATAGCTAGATATCTCTGGCTCAAGAAAATCACGACCCTTTACCGGCAAAATCGTATGCGGCACCCCTACGTCTGTTTCCCCTGCAAGACTCAACGCACCAAAACCCCACTCGCACAAAGGCGCCAACTCAAGGCTGCTCACAGCTTTCCCATTCCCAGATGCTTCCTTTCACCAAGCCACCCACGTAGGCCACGGGCAGTGCAAGCATCTTCCAGCCAGCCTGCATTGTTTGCATTCGTCTCAACATCTCCGGGGTGGAAGGGGCTGAGAATAGCACCTCCCATTCACAACTGCGCAAAGAAAACCAAATGCAACTGAAGCTTAGTGAAGTGGAACACTCCAGGAGATTATCAAGATTTGGGACACGCCTCGCACCCATTGACTTTGGGTGTTCCACGTATAAGCTCCCGACAAATCACTTCCCCCGACAGGACATGAGAAAGATCGGGTATCTCGTCCTCCCCAAGACCAAAAATCCCCACCGGAGGGCGCTCTTTTGCGGGGGGAGGGACTGGACCTAAGAACTGGCTGGTGCATGGAAACCTCAACCGTGTGCGACCCGTTTGCTCATTGTGTTGGTAAAGCAAACAAGCCCCGCTCATGTGCGGTCCGTCCCAGCTGCAAGATTCAGGGAACCAACTGTTGGCCGCTTGCGTCGCCCCCCCCCCCCCCTTCTAGAAATACGGGAAGAGAAAACACGCCATAAGTAAGAAGCCTTTTCCCAGTGATTCCATTTCCCTGTATAGGAAATAAACAGGGGAACCAACCTTCAAATGGCTGGTGACCGACGTATAGTGGTAGCTGGCTCTAGCTGCCTCCTCAACAACATGAAAAAAGCGCTCCGTCACCCCACTCCTTCGAGGCAAACTCGGAGCCCTTCTGCATGGAGCTCTTCTTCTCCTCCTCCTGGCGTTTTTTTGGCTGAAAATGGTTGGGCGTCTGGTGCTTAAATACCATCCAGAGGGTGGCCCTGAAGCTTAACACTGGAAAAAAGAAAATTAAAACTATCAAAATAGTTATATGAAAGAAAATTAAGTTAGTAATACGTGAGAACAAAGCAACTGCCCGTGCAATTGTGATCGAAACATTCAAGTGTGGAGAAAGACGAATCGATCAGAATTACAAAACACAATCCACTGACAGCTAGACATACAATCGAACCACAATCGAGAAGCCAAACCAAGACAGGGCCGGGCATGAACAGTTTCTGCGCTCAGCCCAGAAAACTGTCGCCATGACGCCTCACCCATAGGGTAACTAGATCTGCAGCTGCGCCCCCAAATGGCAAAAGAACTCCTGTCCGGCCATTGGCAATCTTCTTGGAAATGATGATCCCAAGCTGGTGCCTGGAAGTGCCTGCAGCTTTGACTGGTTGCCTCTCTCCAAACTCGAGGTTGACATGGGGGCGTCCGGGAAATTGCTGGTTTTGGTCCTCTCCTTCTCATAACCTAGTTGCAGGGATGCGGTCCCGGTGCCCCGAAAGCCGGCTCCTTGTAGCCCGCCAACTTGCTCAGCGCATCGAAGTGCGAAGTGCACTTGTCAATATCGCCGCCTCAAGGGCAGGCAGGCAGGCAAGGAAGCAAGAAAGCAATGAGGCAAGCAAGGTTGGACTTGGCTTTATTTATTCTTGGTCATCCAGCACTCAATCATGGCAAAACTCCGCAATGCGTCTGCAAGCCAAGTGGCCATTCTCGCTGATGCACGCAACAGCACCTTGGCTGCTGTTGCCGCCAGGCTGCGGTTTCCCCCAGTCCAGTCAGAAGATATTTGATGCGCATAGCATCCCAAATTTTTCGCTGGGAAAAAGGCCACAAAGAGACCTGGCCAAGCCCACAAACAGCCGCTTCCCTCTGGCCTGGGCCAGAGACTTGTACCCTACCTTCTCCTCCCTGGTTGCTGGGTGTCCCTTGCTCTTCCCTTCAACGTCCTAGATGGCCTGGGAGCTGCCCCGAGCCTCCGAGACCCCCCCGCGCAGGCCGAAGGCGCTGGCCATCTCCGCGCTGTTGGCCGGCGTGGCCAAGGGCCCCGCGGGCGTCAGCTTGGTGTCCACGGCCGGCAGGCTGCTCACGCAATCCTCGCAAAAAGCCCAAGGCGTTGAGTGGACCGGGCGGACGGAATTTGGGAAAGCCAACCCTGTTTTGGTCCTTTCTCCCACCAACCCAACGCCCCAATAGGCCAGAAACAAAGGCGGCAGCACCATCCAGGCAGCGCTCTTAGAAAATTGTTGGAGGTTCTTGGAAGGTAATCCCTTGGGTTTTGAAAGGAAATACGCAAGGTTCGGCGGGAACCTGCCTGGGGTTCTGAGAGCCTTTCGTGACAGTTTAGTGGCCTGCACTCTGCTTCACCATGTGTCTAATTGCTGTCCGAGTGACCTTGTGTGAGTGTCCTCGGCCAATGCACTGCCTGGCGGAGACACAGTCAGAGCTCAGGCGTGTTTGAGGTTTCAATCAAAGCCTTTGGCACATACCAACATACAAATGAAGATGACCAAACTAGCTATGGCTGGTATTGACTAAGCATTCAGGGGCGAATGCTGCCGCCAACCATACATGACCATACCTGGAAGCATTGAATAGGCGCGGCAGCATGCGTTTGGTTCATGAATCCTCGAAAATATTGCACGTGTCGTGGTTGATTTTGGAGTGACATGTCCAAACTGTTTCGAAGCCATGTGAGCAGGACCGAGGCAATAAAACGCTTTGAGGGGGCCTGTACTCTTGGCACCACATCAAGCCAAAATTCATCAAGTACCCTTCAACTTTGCTCTGCGGCTATGATGCGGATCTAATAAGGCAACACCTGCTACGTAGAAACCAGCATTTGCATCACCAAATCGCGAGCAGGCTCTCATGCGAATATCTCCTCTCAGTTGCCCAAAGAAACCAGAAATAGAAAGTTAACCTTTTAGCACCTCTACTAAACATGGACCAAAACTGCAAAACCGAAAGGTCAAAGGTCGGCTTTGAACAACTAAGTCCTTGTAGATCAACGCGAATCCATACCCCGGACATGAAAAGCTGGGTGCATCTTTGTTTCTAGTTTCTCGTTGAGGGAAACCAAGAGGAAACAACCCACCTTGGGGATCCCCATTTAAGGAAACAAACCCAAATGGATTTGGAGTCGGAGAGTCATGCCGGCCCCAGTCAGACGGCCCGTTTTCGCGCTGTTCCAAGGAAAAGCGCGAAAACGGAACAGGGTTGTTGGTTCTCTTCATTTCCCTGCCTGAAGAGAACCCAAGGTGGTTGGCTTGCCGCTTGCCCTTCTTTTCTCTTTCATGGTGCGCTTCAGGGCTCCCGGAGTCGCGCCCACCCAGTCACGGGCGCGCCGGTATGCACTGCTGAAGAAGCTCGGGTCGAAGCTCATAGACGACAGCTTCTCAGCCTCAGCCTGGAAAGGGACAGGCCCGGCGCTGCTTGAGGGGAAATACTGTGGATGGACGAAATCCTGCACCACCTAAAAAAAAGACCTGGACTGATGATTCCCCTGTAAAAAAACAACGAACAATGGTCTTCTATGGTTTGATAGTGGTGCAGGATTTCGCCCATCCACAGTATCAAATATCTGGGTGAATTGACATGGTCCGACCTGAAATACAATGGTGCCTCTGAAAAATAGCTTCATCAGTGGGGTGGCCGGAAATATGCTCTCGAGAGGAAGCTCTTTGCCAAGAAGCATGCCCTAAAGGCCTTGCGCCTGGCACCCTGTTGCGAAACCTCTTGCGGTTCAAAGAGAATGGATCACCCCCTTGGAAGCGGTTGATGTCCATGCCCACAAAACCATTGGGCCAGTTTGGAGACATCAAAGTGGAATGACCCGGATGAATCCATCCCGGAAAGCCAGAATGAGTCCGAATTGCCCAAACAAATGCAGCCTCTCTTCATCTTCGGCACCTGCAGTGTAACTTTCTCTTTCGGCCATATCCTCTGCCTCTAGGCAACATTGGGCCGTGCAATACAAAAGACCATGCCGAACACCCCCGGCACGCCTTTGCCAGGCATGAGTCCGGCGTGGAGTACACGCTCTGCGTCCATTTCTCAGGAGGAATGGCAACCTGTGCCGAGTCACTCAGACTCCCAAGGCCACAGAATCCCATCGCAAAAAAGCAGCCAACCAGGAAACGCGGCTGAAACAATGCAAAACAATACCAAAAGCCACCATTCTTGCGGCGCGTGCATGGTTGAGAATCAAGCTTCACAGGACACCTGGCCAATGACTGACCCAAGTTGCAAATCAATCGCTGCAAACACTTTGGCTTTAAAAAGGCTTCTTATGGGCGACCAACATGACTTCCTTTTGCGAGGTCGGTCAAAGCGAAGAAGCCCTCACCACTGCGCCTTGGGAATCGCAGACGGAGCCATGGGTTTGGTCCTGGTTCCAATACCACCCACCCCCCAAAGAGGTCTCTTGGCTCCACTCCCCAAAAGGGTACCATCAAACAAAACCACGCCCAAGAGGCTGGGCATGGGCATGACATGTCCCAAACAAGTTCCTACATGCCGAATGGGTTGTGACTGTCAGCATCGGGCATCCGAGACCAAAAAAAGCCCAACAGACAGTCCGACTGCCGAGCGATCCGCCCCTGTCGTCCTTCGCCGCAAAGGCCCACCCGGCACGTTACAAAGCTCAAGCTGAAACGGCCAGCGCGGAGCTACTCTGCGAATCTGCGACCAACCGGTCCGGTAGAGAGCCGGGAGAGTGGTCAAAACCAATGAATGCTGCTGACCTCTTTGGGCAGCGTTACCTCTCCCTTTTCAGGCTGGTGCACAACAGAAACTCGTCACACTTATGCTCAACATATGACTTCCCTCACCGCAAGGTTGGCCTTTTGGGGTATTCGGGGGTCACTCCAGGGGAGGTGAGTAACCAGACCTTGCCCGAGGGTGCCACGTTCCCTTGTTGCTTTATTGCAGTTGATGCTTCCGGCCGTGTGAATCATCCACAACTACAAGAATGGGGTTGCTTCTCCAATGAGGGCAGCCCAAAACGGGTGGTTGCGCTAGGGATTGCCAAACCAGTCAAAGGCCGCGGGAAACTCGACTCAAATGAGTCGCTTCCCTTTTCATCTTCAAACCAGTCCAACACCAAAAAAGCATGACAAAAAAAATGGTTCGGAAAATGGATGGGTGCTTTCTGGTTTCGCTTGAAACCAACCCCGACGAGTCGCCCATCAATCAAAGCAAGCCACGCCCTGGCCACGCCCGGGCACCGTGCCCATGTCTCGAAGACTGCGGGAGCCGCGAGCCGCCCCATGCGATAAAAACAAAAAGCGCGGCTGTCTGCAAAGGCACCTACCCTCCCTCCAAACATGGAAGCTGCCAGGGGTCTGGAAGACTGCTTTCCTTCTGGGGAATCTCTCATTCCTTCAGGTGGTTAGATTTTGGTGTCCCTCTCCACCACTGTATTGAAAAACACCCTATGGATGCCATTCAGGGTTCTGGAGAACTCTAAATTCATCAATCCCCTGCTGCCCTTTAGTGGGCAGTGTGAATCCGCAGGTTATGCAAGCAATGCAGCACAATGTTTGCCTTGCTGGCTGCCAGCTAGGGCCAGATCCGGCGGGTCGCGGGACTCGCAGTGCAGCAGTGTTCTATTCTCCGCGACCCGCGACCCCAAAAAAAAGAGTGCCCTTTATATCGCCTCTTAGCGGGTGCACGCCAAGGGGGAGCAATTTTGGGGGTGGTTACCATGCAAGAATTTCTGCCTCAAGGAATCCCAGCTGGCGGGTGAGGGGAAGACGAGTCTCGACTAGCACTGAGCACCCTTTCTCCGCGCACAGGAAATCACGCTGGCGTCTTAGGCTGGCACGACGCGGTCTACGATGCATGAATCCAGCGCTGTGATCCCACTCTTGCGTGCGGCATAGTCTCAACTGGTGATTGGTCGCTTGATCCATTTCTCTCGGTGCAAGTTGAAAAATACCCGGGGCGACGCTCAGAGAGCGTTGCCCTGGCGGGCGCCGCCAGGCGCAGGGGGCTCGGAGGCACAGAGCCCACAACCAAAGAAAAAGGCACAGCGAAACCAAGAGGAAGCCACCGATTCTGGGGCCCTCCCCTTTTTCACGCATACCCAAATAGTTGGCGTGGGAGTATCATTGAGAGGCCTGAGACTGTTTTGACTGGGCGTGCCAAACGGAGGCATCTCAGACCTAAAACCTGAGCAAATCAATGCAGACCGAACACTGGGACAATTGGCTGGCAACCACGCATCGAGTTGAGCTCGAAGCCCCAGAGCTTGGTCGGAGTGAGGGAAGTCGCAGTTCCAAAAAAGCCGGAAATTCTGGAGGGGAAGCCAAACTCTGGTATGCGACATGCGTTAAACAAGAGTTTTGCCGTGCCTACAGCAAAAGCCAACCCCGAGGCCGGCATCGCCGAGCGGGAGAGGCAAAAAAAGAGAAAGAGAAAGAGAAGAGGGGGGCAGCAAGGTTTATATGGGGGGACTGAACGAAACCGTACTCTCTCTTAGTTGGCAGTGACATAAATGCCTTTTGCAAAAAATCAAAACGGTGAAAGATCCAACCAAAGAGCACTTAAGAATCTTCGAAGCGGGCAGCAGGATCTACAATGACATTCCAAGCTCTCCCCTTCTCCTCCAATGGGGAAGCTCTGTCTGTGTTTGTGCAGCTTCCCTCCTATCCATGACGAAAGTCAAATAAGATCCTAGCTGATCAGCAAATACAATCTATGTCGTGTCCAAATACCGCCTGAACAAAATGCAAAAATAGAAAACACGGTTGTGAGAATTGCCCAAGACTGTGATGCCACTGGCAGCGCCGACATCCTTCACTTAAAGGAGAGGCTACCTCAAGCTCTTGAGTCTCCGCACAGGATCCATCCCCACCCCCCTTCAACCCCCCTCCCCCGGTCTTTCTCCAAAAGGCCCTACGCAGCGGGGATTCTGGAAGGGGTGCACGGGAATCCTGTAAAACCACTAGTCGCAAATGTTGTGACTGATATTGGACAATTTTTTCTTTCATCCTTGTCTTGTGTGGTTGAACTCCCTTTGCAGAGGAGCCGTTCTTGCCCTCGATATAAAAGCTCAAAAGCAAGTTTCGATACCCTCAACTCCTTGTTGCTCTCTCCCAACCACCAGCTAGCCACAAAGAAAAAAACAAACGAGAAAGGTTTCCGGACCCTGTCAGCTCGCATCGGTCGCTCGCTCGGAAAGCCCAAAGCCCCGTCTCCGCCTTGGCGCTCTCGCCGATGCGCCCCACCTGTCGGAAGGCCACTCGCCACACCTCGCAGCGAGCCGGCGTCTCATTTTCCTTTGGCCGCAAAATGCGTGCCCCCGGAAACCAAACCAAACCAAACCAAACCAGCCAGCCTTGAGGCATCCAGACCAACCTTTCAAACAAACCAAACCAATCATCCAAACCAACCAGCCAACCTGCAAACCAACCTGCAAATCCTCCAGCCAACCAACAACCCAGCTAACGCAACTAAATTTTGGACACCTCCGACCCAGCCAAACCTGCACCCCAGTCACCCAAACCATCTTACCTGCAATTTGCGGCTTATGCTGATTGTTTGGGAGTTTGTGCCCCTAGTCCTCTTGAAAGCAAATTGATAGAGGACCCTAACCTCCACACCGCCAACCCAAGCAACCAATGCCAAACGAACGAACTCCGGGTCTCTGAGCACTGGGTGCGCAACCTTTCGGGAGTTTGACAACAACTTGTGTGTCTGTGTGTTCAATGTCAAAAACCAAACCAAAGGCTCTTATATCCAACTGAACGCCACCCAAAAAATGCGGGCCTCCTCCTGCGGTGCTTTGAAAACGCCCCATGTTTTGCATGACACCTTCCGCCATCCCAGACGTATCTTTGGAAAAGACCTAACGAAAGGCCGCCGCAAAACCCACAGGTTCCCAGACGTTGAAGAGGGCCCAGGAGACCGCGAAGAGCGGCAGAGCCAGCACCGCCACAATCCGCAGGTCGAAGCCCTGCGGGGTTCTGGGAATCCCTCCCCCCACCCACCCCACACCAAGCCCCCCCCCCCTTCCGCCACAGCCCTGAACCACTAGCGCCTCGTCGTCCTCGCTGGCCGCCCGCACCGCCAGCGCTTGTTGCGGCAGGGCGGTGGCGGCTGCCAGGCCGGCGGCGACCACGGCGCTCTGGGCCTCACTGCCACTCACGGCCGCTTTGGTTCCAAACCGCTTTGGTTCTGAGCCTTCAACCGCGTGCCTTGCTTTGATTTCTGACTGGGAAAACAACTTTTTAGGGGTTGGTGTGCAACCCCATGCAACCCCAAACACCTTCTTTGGGTCATGGTCATGCCAGCACCTCTTCATGTGCGCAATTGCATGAGTGTGCATTTGTGTTCCATGCCGGGCAAACGTGCATACCACAATTGAAGGCAACTACTGCAAAGCTGTGCCCAACCTTCTAGAGAAGAAAGCCAAAAGAGGAATCAGAAATCACAAC